CAAATATTTTGGCCTTCAGTCAAGCTTTTTGAAATTGACTTTTGATTGAATGGGTTGTAACCATATCTTATATGTGGCCAGGCCACAATGCACCATTTGTGTTTATGGAAAGTCCTTCTGCATGAGCAGTGGTTTAGGGATGATATCCTAGTCCTCGTGGAATACAGTTTGATGCGAAGCTCTCTGACCTTAGGTGATGGCTTTTGAGATATTTTGGATTCTGTATCTCTTTTCTCTTTCTCTTTATGCTCAGTGTTCCTAAATGTTTCATTTTGAAGTAAAGACCAGAAGCGATAAATTCAAGTCATTTTATGTCATTCTGTTTTGTTTTTACCCTGCTCATTAGCAACCCTGTTAGAGTGGCAAACAATTAAAAAGGTTAAAAGCCTCGATTGTTTGGTTGAGGAAAAAGTTGAATGTAGATAACAACAATAACAAAATCACAATAAAAATTGGGATGATAAAAAGTATTTTTCCAGAAGCAGCAAAACATTAAAAATAGGCAAGTATTCAGGAATGGGAGTCTTTCACTGTCAGGGTTGCACTACTGAATAGGCTGTTGTCCCTTTAGCAGCTGCCACAAGTTACTTAACGGGCTCGTCGACTCGATCTTTCTCTTCTGAAGGAGTATAAATGCTTTAGTACCTTCTTTTTTTGTTTATCTTTTATGAATGTATTTGTTCATTTCAATGATATGACTAGAAATTCTCCTAGATGAAAATAGTTATCACAAACAGCAAAACAGAATATATATATTTTAGAACTTTGCCAGTATTTCCTATATATCAGCATCCTTTTATAAAATATATTTTCTGTTTTCACTATAATAGTTTATAGACATACAAACATGCATATCTGAAATTCTGAAACTACAATCACTGCTTCTGGTCTTGAAATCCATGTGTTCTTAACCACAATATGCGTTGTGAGTTAGGCAAATGTGCTTTTATTGCTAGCTATAGTTCGTTCAGAATGGCTTCTGTGAGGGCACTGATCTGTTGCATATCTGCTGGGTTTAACAATTTGAGCATGAACGCAATTCAATTCAATGCAATTCATTATCCCAAAAGGATGATAGAGTCCACATTGCATCTCATTAGCAGCTGCTAGTTCACTCTTCTTTCTGTAGCTAGAGTAATGTCTTCATTGAACTGTTCCTGGTGAACAGGAAAAGGTAGATTATATAAGTTTGCTTGAACTTTCTGTTAAAATATATCCTTTGATTCATTCAAAGTTGGCATTGACTAATTTGATTTATTCTTGTGCATTCATCCTTATTCTTCCCATTGTTGTAACTCACATCCCTTGTTTCAATTTGCGCGGGTTGGTGTTAGAAGCATTCAATTTTATGCCTTTTTGACATGTGTCTTTCCTCCCTACCCAGTTAATATATTTGAAATACGTTGCTACTTACCTGAAGTATATTATTAATTTTATTTTTTCCCTGTTAAGTATCAGTGATTCCTTAAATCAATTTAAAATGTGGCAAAGGCAAGTACCTCCCTCTTTACTATGAATCAGAGTAGCTCTCAAATCAAGGAAATGTGAATCAATCCTGGTCATATAAAATCTACATTTGATATGATAATAATTCTTTAAGAGAAGTCAATAAAGTTTTGTCAAGTTATTTCTCCCCAGTTGACTCAGTTTAGGCACCTCTCTGTGTGCCTTTAAATAGTTGGTCAACTTATGTTGTTCCCAAAAATTTAATGTGGTTTTTTTAAGGCATGGAATACTCTCGAGGTGATTTTGGGATTTCCTTCCTCTGAAATGTGGGTGTTCTTCCATCCAAGTGCTAATAGGACTGACCCTGCTTAGTTTCCAAGATAAGATAGGATTATTTAGGCACACAGGCGGGCATCTCTGCAGTTGTTTAATTAGTTAATCTGTTAGGTAATTAAATTGTACAGTGGCTTCTTCGTGGTGTCTGTGAAATCGCACATATGGGTTTGTTTGCACATGTGTGGTGTAGTTTGGAACCTTTTAGATCTCTAATGAAAACATTTTGGCGGTAGCCCCTCCCACTCTCCCCAGATAGTAGAAGTAGCCATGGGCGGGGCTGAGCCTCAGTTCCTTTTTTCCACCGCTGATTGCAACGAGGAACTTTTTCTCTCTCTGCTTTCTGCTATACCATTGTGCTGTACTTCACTACTTGTTACCTTTCCTAACGGTTTTTGACTCGGACACCTGTGGACTCACTGCTTTTCTCTCTCCTTCGACCTTGGACAGCATATCAGACTTACATTGCTCTTCTCCAGCCTTGACCCGAACTGGACACACACTACAGGCTGGTCACCATTATGGCCTCTGCCTTTCTCTTTAAAAATTGCTCCGCTTGTGGGACTAAGCTCTCCAAAGCGGATAGCCACGCCAAGTGGTTACTTTATTATTATTATTTTATCAGAATATATCGTTAATTAATTTTCCAGAAATAAGAAAATAAAGAACCCATATCTAGGTCGCGAAAATACATTTAAGAAAAGACATAAACATGTTTTTACATCTCAATACAGCTTGTACATTCTATCATTAAACATGTTGGCATTTTACATTCTCTAATCTAAAATAACAATGTGACAATAACCTGCTACTCATCTAATTTTAAACTTTTCCCTCATGAAACATGTTATGCTTATAGTTCTATAACAATTTTCTCTCTATTTGTGTACATTCTGTTTTATTATTCCCCTACCCTTTTCTTGTGCCACCTTCACCTGGACCTCGTCCTATCTAGTTATTCCAAAATGTCATTGTTTCTCATGCGGGTTTATTCTTCTTTCCATCAGTGAATATAAACTCAATACATTTAGCCCATATGCCCTAAAATCTGTTTGTTTACAAATATCCTTTTTAACTTTAATGTCACAAGTCAGTTTATCATTTATCGCTATATTTTGATTATATGGCAGTGTAGACTCATATAATCCAGTTCAAAGCAGATAATGTGGATTATCTGATTTGATAATCTGGATTATATGGCAGTATAAAAGGGGCCCAAGGGTCAGTGACACTACTTTCAGTAGTTCCCGTCGCCATGGGGCTATTGAGTGTCCTCAGTAGAAATACATTGTTTTCCATTGTGGTTTGGCAATGTATAATAGCATGTCATGAGGCAGAATTTGTTTCTGACTACATGTTATTTTACAGAGGGACCTTTTACACTGCCAAAGAATCCATATTATCAAAGCATATAATCAGGATTTTATATGGCAGTGTAGAAGGCCCAGAGAGTAATGAGAGTCCATGGCACCAGCTGCATCCAACATGCATCAAGAATATAAGGAGTCTTACCAGGCACACAAGTATACATGTCACTTGTAGTATTTATAATGTTTATATGAATTGGTGACTTTGGTTTGTGTTTATCATAGCAAAACCCTTTAGCTCAAATCCAATAGTTGGAACCTGTGGAATATCTATTACTCACATAAGTGTTGATATACTAGATTCCCATTGATGCAACGAATGTCCCCTAGTTGGAATAAATAATTGGTTTTAGACCTTAATGATTTAATTTCATAATGCAAAAGATGTGTATATGGACATATGTTCAAAGATACTTTAAAGCAGGCATCTTCAAACTGCAGCCCTCCAGCTGTTTTGGCCTCCAGCTCCCAGAAGCCCTTGCCAGCTTGTTTACTGGCCAGGAATTCTGGGAGTTGGAGGCCCAAACAGGTGAAGGGCTGCAGTTTGAGGATGCCTGCTTTAAGACCGGTAGCTATTTCTGATGCATAGTGAAAGTGAAACAGTTTTGGAATTATGATTAAAATACCCCAATTGTTATGTGTATGACTGTATCAATCTATCAGTATGTGAGTATTCCTGCACATATAGCTAGTTCCATGCTCCATTTTGATATTTATTCTCTCCTTTCTCATTTAAATCCTCGTTTTCTTTTTCTTCCTGCCTACATGTTGCTGTACACATAATTAAGGTTGGCAAGATAAACACCTACAGCTCCTACGTAGAGGAAGTGAGCCAAGATTGACAGTATTCCTGTGCTCTATTGTTTGCCAAGTTAGTGATTATTTGTTTTAGGATCCATTTCCTTTTTTTACCTATGACTACCCTCAAACTTCTTACTTCAGATATTGGCACACCATGGCTGATGGCAACAACATTGCGAGTACTGTCAAATGAACTATGGTCAGGCCTTTGCTATTTATGTGAACAATAGCATTTAGAATTCCAGGGCATATTCTCATATTGTCTTGTCAGCATAATCAAATGATGTAAGAAACATTCAATATTTATGCATAGTTTATCCATACTATTCTATTTTTTTTGTGTGTATGTGTAATTTCAACAGAGAAATCATAGGAGTTTCGCCTACCTGAGCTCACTAATTATTTTTATTTTATTATTATTATTATTAACTTTATTTGTACCCCGCTAGCATCTCCCGAGGGACTCGATGCGGCTTACACAGGCCGAAGCCTCAGAACACAATACAGTAAAAACATAACACAACAATAAACAAAGCAAATCAAAATAGTTAAGCAGAATAACAACAACAGTGACAATACATCAGGACACTTTAAAACTGGGCCGGCCAGAGCAATGGGGTACAGGGTTAAAAGTGCTGAAATGGCAGGAGGCACGTAGGATTAAAATAGTGCGGTGTGCAGCAATATTAATTGTACTAAAGTGCTTCTAGGACTTGGGATTTTTGTCAGGTTCTCTTTTCTTTTCTCCTTTCTTTTGGGCAATCTGAAATAATGTGGCCTTTGATCCTGCCAACTTTGTGAAGACTTGCTTTGGGGATTTTCATCTCCAGCTTAAATGTTGTATTTATATTCATTATTGAAAAGGTGATTGAAAATCAGGGAATGGCATTTTGACCCAATCTGTTTCTGGCCATTAGTCTCTGAGCTAATTTTCCTTTTTTCATCTAGATTGGGGTGAAGGGGGTCAAATGTCTTCATGAAAAAAATTGTGTTGCAGATTGTTTGAAGATGAGATCTTCTAAGTGTAATTAATAGAAATCTATTATTTTACAGGTACTGAGCAACAGCCAATAACGGTTGCACCTTCTTCAGAGTCTTTTACTAACTGGAGAGCTATATTATCACCAACATGGCCTTCTAGAGAACTTGAGTCTTCCTCAGTGGGTGACATTTCAATGCGGCAAGCCTTGGAGAATGCCAATCTGCTTCAGATTATAAAAAGTACATTAGCAGGGACACGGACCAGAACTATGGACCAAACTAGGCCTTTGCCAAGTCTGTATCAAGGCAGCGGCAACAGTGCATCCCAGGAGCCTTCTGAAGTATCTGCTGAATCGCCAGTGAAGTCCCAAGATGCTGATGAAATGACTATTGTATCAGGTTTGCCTCAAATTAGTGTGTCCTCTGCATTGTCCACATTACCATCAGTGACGTACTCCGCAACTAGTGTGTCATCTCAGATATTGCCATATTCAACATCTTCCATTTCAAAAGAAGTCTCACCAGGATCAGACATATTTTCAACCACTCCATGTTCATCCTCTTTGCCATTGGTAAAAAAGTCATCTCATGTCACTATTGTTTCCAAGTTGACTGTGCCACCCACCAATGTGCCTTTGTCCACAAATAAAAAGTGTTCATTCACCTTAAAATCAGCTAATTCTCATGTTAGTAAAAGTTCAGGTAACTTACTGAGCACAATACCTGCTGAAAATTTTAGCAGAACAAAAAATGCATTATCCATAAAATTTAAAGCACTTTCAGCTGCTACACATTTTAGCAATACATTTGGATTGATAAATGGAGAGCCTGCAACATCAGTAGATAGACAGACAGACCCAAGGAACAGGAAATTGCATTCTCGCACTTTCCATGTAATAATACCTACCCTGACTTCTTTTTTATTATCTACTCAAATACCACTGAATACTAGCAAAAATAGTCCTTCCTCTGGATTAGTTGACAAGGCACCTTCCACAGCAATGCTCACAAGTCAACCTGATGCCGTGACATCTTCTAAAGACCCTAACATTTATGTAATTGCATCACCCCCTGTTCTTAAAAGGAAGACAACAGTTCCTTGGAGTTCTACATCAGTACGCTATTCCTTGAGTATCCCACCTGCATGGCTGAAAATGACTGCCCATTTGCCTTCTGCTTCAGTTTCTAGTTATACCAAAGAGAGAGCTTTATTGTGGGCTTCTGGAAGTCCAAAACTTTCCCATTTGGTAACAGACGTGTCTTCCCCAACAGTGCCAACTAGTGTTATTTCAGAGGCAATAAATACCAGTAATGCAATAGCGCAAGCACCAGCATTTACAAATATGTCCTATGCAACAAATAAAGTTGGTTTGTTAAAAGTGGATGCAAAACAGACTTTTAATCAAACAGTATATGCTGCTGTTTCCATACCAAATACTAGAGTTGCTTCAAAGACTCAAGTAAGAAATCCTCATATCAAAGAATTAACAACCTTTGCTGATACAGCATATGACATTCCTCCAGCAACTGTGGAACCTACCTTGTGGCCTCCCACTTATTCCTTGGTAAGACAAGTACACCGCCGATTTGTCACAAAAGATATAGCTCCAATGTTCACATATATTGATGTTAAGAGTGTCCCTCCTTATCAGTCACCACAGAAGCAAACTAAAAACTTAAATTTCGAAATTCCTGTCAGCAAGCAGGCGCCATGGAAAACAAGGTTTGAGATGTTTTTCTCACTAGAAAGAACCAACTCCACTGCATTTCCACTATCTTTGCCGACATCTTTTGGGGGCCTTTTGAAATCACAGTCTTTACCTAATGATTCTAGAACTTTACAACCAACAAGGAATTTAACTAACAGCTTAACAGAAGAGGAAATGGGAAATGCAAAGAAGTCCACCACTCTCATGTCATATATAGAACACTCCTCTCATGCTACTTTAAATAAAGCTGATTCTGAAATGCAGGAAACTTCACAGATGCCTGATGTAACCTACAAGACTACTAGTGTTCCTTCAGACATAGATGTATTGGCCCCATTTACTCCAGTGCCAGAACGTATTAACAGTGTTGTGCCATTTTCTGTAGAAACCTCTACTGTTGCTTCAACAGATATCTTAGATACTTCAAATCCAGTTAAAACTGGTAAAACCACAGTTTTAGTCTCTGAGTGGAACATTGGGAATTGGCCGTCATCTACTAGTAGTGTTGTGACTTCTGAAAGAAAAAGAACCCAAATGTCCAAAGCTGCAGTTGATTATGCAAATACTATAGCATTAAAAACAATGTATACTGAGGTTCCAGATCCTTGGCAGCAAACACATTATGCAAATAAACAGATACATTTTAGCTCTGGATCATCATCTGTTGATACACCTTTAACACCTATTCAGAATGTTACAGCTTCAATTTCCACTGAAATTAGTTCTAAAAGTTCCACAGAACTTAACACATATCCATTTACTGTAGAAACATCTTTTAATCAGTATTTGCCCTTTCCTCAACACCCGAAGGGCTCCTTACAGAGCACAGGAGTACCATCACCACAGTCAAAAAAGGACACAACCTCACCTGGAAATATCCTGGAATATTTACCTCTTCGAAATATTAATTTCACTTCTGGCTATGAAAAAATACCCAGTTTCTCATTTAAGGATTTTACAACAAGTAACAGAAAAACCTCTACCAGCATGGATGCTGTTCCCCCTACTTTGTCAACATATTCACATTCCTGGTCTTTTGATTTTTATGCCAAATCTCTGACTGTGTTGAAACCTCAAGCAACTAATGCCAAGCCCCCTTTTTCATCAACAGGTGCTTTTTATGCAATTTCTTCTTCACCATCATTGACCTCTCAATTCATTGCTAAACTTACTATTCCAACAAGTAAGGGAATTACTGCCATTAGAGATAAAAAAGAAAGATTGTCACCCATCCCAGTGCATGATTTGCTAACTTTGACTCCAAATGTGATTGAAGAATATATGACGTCTGGGGAAAAAATATTTGTAAATAACCACAATTCAGAAGTGAACAATAACTTGAGTACGAAATCAATGACATCAAGCACAGGAGGGAGGTATACAAAAGGTACAAGTGGTATCCTAGATACAGTTAAAGTCACTAATGAAGTCACTAAAATCACTCCATTGCAAACATATACCACTAATCCAGCCATCATAACCCCTGCCCATACTTCACAAACACAACTAACTTCTTTGTTGCCAACAACCAACTTTACCCATTCTGTCATTACAGTGTTACCGTCTGTGTCTCCTGGTGTAATACCATCTGTAGCAACTTCAGAAGCAACACCAGTTACAGCTCCAACATCACCAATGCTGACTTCATCTTTGTTCTCACTGAGCACTGAAAATTCGCCATCTGTGATGGCATTAAGCACGTTAATATCAACACTAGCAAAAAATAACACTGCTACAAAAATGGCATTGACTTTAAGCCCAATAGTGACACATTCGACCTTTCCCGTTGTATCAAGGGACGGCTCTACAACACCTGTGCATACCACTAGTTTATCTCTAATTCCCAAATCTAGTACAATTTCAGCTCCCACCACACATACACCAAGACAAATTGAAACAACAGTACTTGACACCAGGAAATCCACAAGCCCAGACCTCACTATAACATCAACTGCATATCCACTGACAATTACAGCAGCTTTGACATCTATTACAGCATCAGCGAAAACAACTAGACTTCTCCCTACACCTGCTGAAAATACTTCTGCAGCTACTCCTACTACACCAGTGCCAACTGCAGCTCTTGTTAATGCGACAGCAATTCTTCCTTTGGAATGCCAGCTCTCCAGAAACCTCCTTGTTAAGACAGGTATGAATATGTAGAGATTGTGTTGGTGTTAGATACTGCCTTTTAATATGAAAGCAGTATTGATGGCAGGAAGCAGCTGTAGCCCCCCAAATGTACAGAATTTGATAAGAACTGTTGATGACTGTGTCTTTTAGATGTCTCTCTTACTTGTGGGGTCCAAACAAAGTTATCAAGATTGGTTTGATTGATAGCAGAGAGATAGGTGGTCATTCATCTGCTAGATGGGGATGTTACTAAATTTGAATATTCTGTGCATTACAAAATTTATCCAGCTCTGAATGTTGTATTTCCTGATTCAGCTGTCAGCTAAATTGGGAAAGGGCTGATCTCTTTCCCCTGCTGTAGTCCTTAATGCACCCCAAAACCTGTTCTGGGAATCTGGAAACCTCCCAGAACCAGTTTGTAGGTTATCACAAGAGCTGCAGGGGAATGGAATGGAAGGAAAGATCTGTTGCGCTGGTCCTGTGGCATCAGTGCAGAATTGCATTTAGGCTGGAGGAATGCTGGTTTGTTTGGGACAATTTATTTCACAGATTCTTGCAGGCTAGTATCTCTGAGTCACACATGTCGATAAAGCTAAATCACTTCCTTTATCTATCTCTGATAATCCTCATTAAATAAATAAGAGAGAGATCAGGAGAGAGAGAGACATGATTATGATGACTCAAAATGCCTTTGTGGGCTTTAAATAACTACCGATTAATGTTTTTGATTCCCAACAATAGCTTTTTCCCCAGCTGAAGGCTACACTGCTGAGTATAAGTTCATTTGCAGAGTGCGGCTTTTTCATATAGCACTTTTTGAAATGGGGTCTTAAACAAATGAACAGAGAGTACTTTTAAACTAATGTATGACCTTGTATTTTAGTTTTGTTTCTGAATACAAGAAGACTGCTGCTAAATGACTCCTTAAAACAGAATGTCACAAGAGGTCTCACCCAGGCATTGCGGCAAGCTTTCAACCAAAATGTCAATGCTCAAGTAAGCAGATTTACTCAGTGTTTTGTAAACAAATTAAGAATGCAGGCTGCAAACAGAATAATGATGTATTTATATTTTTGGTACTTCACATGGAATGTACAGAGTTGATGGAAATGTTTTCACTCAAAAACACAAAAAAATGACCTATTTCAAAATACATTTTTGTATTATATTTTACATCATTAGAACCATGAAATCTATCTAAATTCATGTCACATCATTAGAACCCAGAAAGGCATATCACATCTAAGAAAATCATGAATAAGTAAACGATTTCACCCTTACATATTTAGGGAAATTGGGATAATTGATGGAACCATATTGTGGGTAGAGTCTGGTCTCAGTGGTGGCCTTTCTGTTTATGCAGCAAATTGCTGGGATACTACATATACAGAGGACTGAAAATCAATTTAAATAATGATGATGAAATTCTGTAGTATAATTCTTGGCTTTAACCAGTAAAATCAATGTAAATGTAATTGTGAGTTCCAACTAGAATGTAATTGTGAGTTCCATTGGATCATTTTATGGCATTAAGTCAAGACTCAGAGCCATTATGGTATAGTGGTTTGAGTGCTGAATTAGGACTTCATGTCCTAATTCCTGTTCAGCCATAGAAACCTATTGGATGACCTTGAACAAATCACATTATCTTAGCCAGGATCTCCAAACTAAGGCCCATGGGCTGGATCTGGCCCTCCAAGGTCATTATCCACCCTTGGCCTAAACTTTCGACTTAGGGTCGCCTGAAATCTAGAATGACTTAAAGGCACATAATAACAATAATCCTAATTAACTTAACTATCTCATCAGCCAAAAGCAGGCCCACACTTCCTATTGAAAGACTGGTAAGTTTATGTTGGTTAAAATTGTTATTCATTTTAAATAATTGTACTGTTGTTTCAGGGTTTTTTTTGCACAACAAATAAGATATGTGCAGTGTGAATAGGAATTCGTTCATTTTTTTTCAAACTATAGTTTGGTCCCCCAATGGAGGAGCCCTTGTTTTAGCCTTATAGGAAAGATCATCCTGTGATAGATTCGTTTTAGGATTGGCATGAACAGCTTGATCACACAACAAGAGGTTGAAACCCGTTAATTTCTACTAAGTAATTATAATTTTATAGATTAAGCATGTAAAAGCCCCATCCTCTTGCCTTGTTTTGATTTGATAAAGAACTAAAAAAAACCCTCTCTCCTAACCTTCAAAAAGTTGCTTAAAACCCATCTGTGCACTCTGGCATATGAAGAGGAGGAAGACTAACACATCTTGACTTACATCCTCACCTAGATATGTTGAATCTTGTCTAGATACTGGAACTGATTTCAGCCTGTTGGTTGCTGTATATCATGTCATCTTTTTATAAGGTTTTAGCTATTCGTTTTTAGATATTTTTATCTAGTGAGAAATTTATATTAAGCGCCTATGTTTGTATGGGTTATGTAAGTTTTCATTGTCGGTTATTTTTTGTTTATTATTAAGTTTAAAGTTAGGTTGCTTTTGTTTGTACGTTTTTCCTTTTTTGGCATTGAATGTTTGCCATATATGTTGAAAAGTGCCCTAGGTCCCTTCGGGGAGATAAGGCAGTCTACAAATAATGCTTTATTATTATTATTATAATATTATTATTGAGCATGAGTTTCAAAGTCAGCCATGCTAAATTGTGTGGCATTTGCATGCCTAGAACTATAGCTTAAATATGGAATTTTGTTTATTTGCGAAGTAAATCTGTTCATTTGAAAACTAAATCTGTTTCTCCTACAATAACCTTTTCTATGTGCAGATTTAGGGGTTCTTTTTTGGGGGGGGGAGAAGAAGGGCTGATGATGGAATGCCAGTGTATGACACTATGCTGTTGTATATAGTTACGAGAGCAAACAGTATATTTACCTGTCATTTAAAGTGAGGTTCTTGTCACTTGGAAAATAATGTTTCTTTGCTTTCCTCACAAAACAATGAGAAATACGACTTTCATATCATTTTTCTTGTCATGGTTAGGTTTATATTATCTCTACTCCCCTTCCTTCTCATGTTATCATAATGGCTATAGATTTATTTACTTGATTTCTAGGCAGTCCATGACAGGAGCTTTTACTTATTTAGACTAAAAAAAGTCTGGGCATTTTTATAATGATGACAGACTGTCTTTACAGTGCTTTCAAATAGTGCCAGTGAGTGAAAAAAGATCTGGGTCCTATTTTTAGGCGCATTTGTCAGCTAACTTCTGGGCAATGTATGTTAGGAATGGATGCCTATGACACCTGGAATTAGAGAAATGGGAACATTTTTGTGTTGTGCTCAGTTTTTCAATTACTTTCCTAGGACAGGCCATGTTGTTAAACTGTTCTGTATCCAACATGGTCTGATGTGTTGATTTCCATATAGTTTAAAATCTCTTCTGCTAGGGAAAAGGGTAAATTGAAGGTTGTGAATTTGGAACCACATTAATCACTGTCCCTCTTAATTACGATGAAGAAAGGCTTATCTGGAGTGTAAAACTACTAATGGAAATAGATTGTAGAGTTTGTGATGTTAACATGTTCCAAATACAATTCTTGAGGTAGCTAAGAAGATTCTGTGCATGCTCTTCTAGGGAAGACATATGTTAATATTTTAGGTGTAGAAGAAAATAATTGGGGAATACCCAAGTTATTATAAAGGATAGGGATTTATTTGGTAATAAAATCTCAAAATGTTCTGGATTCGCACTCAGGCTTTGCTCTGAGGTAACACTGAAAGGATTTCTTCCTTAAAATATCCTCTGCCACCATTAAACCTTTTACTTCTTCAGTAAATTGCTTTTAAAACTTCCTACACAGGCACACGTGAGGCAGATGTTGTGAACAATAAAACAATTATGTTTATTTAAGAGAACTTGAACAAAACAGGTATTAAGCTTAGTTGGTTTGAAAGATTGTCTTAAAAGCATGTGGTTTCTTTAAGCAGTTCAAATCTTGGTTGCAAGTAACACTCCTTTCGCCCTCCAGAGATTACTGACAGGATTTCTTCTCTGAAAGTAATCCCAAACTCCACACAGACAGTCCTTTTCCTTTTGGAATCTGTCACTCCACTCCCCAGCTATCTTCCCTAATAGCTGTAATCTTCTCACTAGCTACCTCTGCTAGCTAACTGACCAACTTTAGGCCTCTCTCACTACTCTCTTCTCCACTCCAAGCTCCTAACTCCTTCTCCTTTGAAACCCAGATCCAATCTCCCTGACAGGGTTTTAAAACATCTCCTTAAAGTCAATGTTTTTCTAAGTTAAGCTCCGCCCACTCTCTCCTAGCCAATTACGAACTCCTCTCATTTCCCTCCAAGTACCTAAGCACGCCCCCTTCAGAAATGAGATTTAAAATGGATGCCACCGGCACCCTTTTCCAAAATGGCTGCCACACTTCCTGGGCCTACATTTTCCTAGGCTTTTCCAAGCCTAACAGGTAGGGAATTTACTACAGTTATCTAAAAGGGTTCATTTAACTGCAGGAAGGAAGAGGGGAAAAAAGCTTTATCTGTTATGTGTCATATTCTGTTTGCACAGTACACAATCCAACTGAAATGGTCAACAAATGAATACTATATATACTCATAAATAAGTTTAGACATTTTAGTAAAACACCTTACTTATCCATGGGTCACTGTAAGTACTGTACCTTCACTCTTATCACAAAAGGAACCATCATCTCTGAGTAGCAAAAGGTGAGAGCTTAGTCATCACAAGATAACCTAAACAAAGCACTAAGACACTATCCTGACTGCACCATAGCACTGCTTCTGGCCTGTATGAATGCCTGTATGGGAAAATTATGGTGGCTACAGAGGTGAAGCGGCACTGGTGCTGTCATTTATTTTGAAAGTACTTGTATACTTCAGAAACTTCATTTTTGTGGCTGCCACAAACTATGTTGAATTGGTTGAGATTCTATGAGATACTCATTGAAAAACTATAGCAAAATCCACTGCAAGATGTCTTGCAAAAACAAAGTTTTTGCAGTTTAATAAACCTTTTCCATGCTTTTTTGATAGAACTATTTAGAACATGACATTTATAACCTAGGAACAAAAATTGTATTACATAATGTAATTAATGCATGGAGATGTTAATCTTGGTGCAGTGTGTGTGTTTCTGTGCCTCTGCATGTGTACACACATACACACACACTGGTACATATGAGGAATGTAGTTGTCTGTGTTTTGCATAGAGATTTCCTCTCTTTGTCTTGTAAGCTGAGCTTTTACTCATTTCAAAGCTTGACCAAAAGTTGGAACCACAGAACAAGCTTTTATGTATATGGCATTGAATGTTTGCCTTTTTGTGTGTAAACCACCTTGAGTCCCCTCGGGGCGAGAGGGCAGTCTATAAATAAAGTTTTATTATATTATTTTCACCGGTTACATTCCAAGCCCACCAGTTGCCACGTTTGATTACTGTAAGTCCTAATGAAAAGAGAAAAAGCAACTTACAAAGCCAGGCTACAGTCAACATCATCCATCTATCATATAGTCCTCTGAGAATAGCTTGTACAGCTTTTGAAATAGTTTAGTGAAATAACCGAGAGAGCTGACCATAAGGCTTTGAGTGATGTTGCATACATGCCAGCATCAAGGCAAGTTGCAACAGATGGCAACAGATTTACAGGTCACTGGTAGCCCACGTTTGGCAGCGCCTCTTGATTTTGTGTTCATTTAATGCATTTTATAAAATAATGTTTCTCAGAGTTATTCACAATTTTATAGATAGGAGAAAAAATGCTTTAATCTTTTGAAAGTTGGTGTAGAGATTATTTCAGAGATTGTTCTATTGGTGGCCCATAGAACTGGTGAAATACCTGTTGTGTTCATGCTTCAGTACTTCTCTGGACCAGGATTTAAAAATAAAAATAAAAATGTTATTTTCCTGTTAGGACTCATTCATGTAGTTCTCTACAAGCTTCTTTGTGCACAACTGTAATGAATCAGAATTAAAGTTATTAATTACAGAAGATGTGTGAAGTCCAGATAAATAACATTTCTTCATGTGCTTTTTTCAGATTGAAATTCTGGAACAATCAAACAATGTGACAGTTGGTTACTATGTAACTCAAGAGAAACTAGTTTTCATACCTGCTGTGGTTATAGAAATGCTAATTGCTTATGGTGTTAGTAATGCCACTTTGGATATTAAGCAGCACGTGCCAAATCTTCATTCTGTTGCTGTCTTAGCCTTGCCCTGGAGGCCACTGCCAGCTTACCATTTTCAGCTGAAAACAGGCAAGTCATGAATATACATCTCTGAAGACCGAGGACTATAATCTATTGCCAGCTCAGCCACAAAATCTAGAGATAGAAATGGAAATAAAAAATTCATATGTGTAGTCCAGCTTCTGAATCATTAGTGCAAGTGTTCTGATTTCAATGAAATCTAGGGAGATCCATTGAAATGCATTCCAACACAAATAAAATTAAGCAGGTTGTTACTTGATAATAAAGAAATATTAGCTTACCGTAATTTAATTGATTGATGACCAGTAGTCTTTTTGCAGAGTTGATGAGATGGCCCTGACAACATTTTTCTCCCTTTCCCTTTGTTGTCACTGCAGTATAGATTGAGTAAATTTATGAGTGGGTTTTTCCAATATTAATGATATATTTGGATTGTCGTTTGTATTTTTCCTTTGGAGTAATAGAAGAGTGATTAACCAGCACATCATGTAGCGCCATAATGATGGTCTTCCTGAAAAGGATTCCCCGTTTCATGCAACCCAATTTCTATTGTCAGGTGCCATTTCATAGGATTATCATAGATGTTTTGCTATGATGAATGCCATAGACTCCAGCTAAGACAAATGTTTGCTGATGAACATGTTTTGTCCCATTCCAGCAAATTGTGATCTTTGGATTGCCTGTTACATGTGGCTTGCTTTCTCCATCTTCTTTGTTATTTTTCACTTCAAGTACGTGATAGATGCGCTTGATATGTCAAATTGAAAATATATAGAAAATTACTATGTTCGGTTTCCTCCTTCACACTGAATGAGAAGTACTCTATATGTTATGTTTTATAGCCAGGGTTTCCCAAATTATCTGTATACATTCACATGTTTAAGTTCCATTCTGGAGAATGATCCCTGTGCCTAAAACTGAAATGTATCAATTGCCCTTTTTATTTGCATGTTTCAGCACAATTAAAACAATCCAATTTGCTTTTATATATCCTCTCACCAATATGTCCATTGGTGAGAAAATATATCTTCTTGAAAATATATCTTCTTGTTCTCTGGAGTGATCCTATATTATTGTTAAGCACCATTATAAAGGTAGTTGTATTTAATCATAATTTATTTAATGATATTTATTGGCCAGTTGCCTGTGCAGAAATCTCATAGTCTTTTATTAGTACAATTCTGTGCATGTCTGTTCAGAAGTAATTATATTCAGATCAGTGGCACTTACTGCCAGGTAGGCATATGTATGATTACAGACCATGAAAAACAGAAAAGATATGTTCTCTAAACACATTTATTATCATTTTATCTAGAATTGCAATTTATGGGTCAGTCAGACAACATACACTCATGCAGATTTGTTCAGACCATGGAACAAAGATTGCAGAAGGCATTTCAGGATGCGGAGAGAAAAGTCTGGAACACCAGTAGCAAGTTAACTGTTCAGGTATAAATTTTCAGTTACTATCAGCTAAATATGCTAATTATTTGCAATGGTTGTATTAACCACGGTGTTGTAAATATAACTAGTTGCCATTATGAAAATATTTCATAATTACGTTTTTTCTTCGTGGTCTCTGCGAATGCACACTTGTGGAGAGACTGCGCCTGCGCGGGCTCCAACGGAAACTTCTTCATTTTGAAACTTTTGAAGTTTTGGCGGTAACCCCGCCCAGCCCCGGCAGGGGATAAAAGGGCGCCCCGCGCACACCGATCCAATTCCTTTTTTTCCGCCGCACGGCTCGCTTCGGTACTTCTAGGATATTGTTATTGGATAGTGTTGGATAGTGTTGGATAGTGATTCCTTGAATTCTCTCTAGAGTTTTCCTCGGGTTGTTGACTATATTATGTCAACAACTCGTTTCAAAAGATGCGCGAAATGTCCGAGGAAGATCCCTGACTCGGACAAGCACGCTCTCTGCCTTCTGTGTCTCGGGGAGGCACATATTACAGCCTCATGTCGTCATTGTCAGGCACTGACGGCACAGTCCCGTAAGAACCGGGCTCATCGGCTTCGGTACCTCCTGTACCAACAGGCGTTGGCCCTGGTACCTGCATCATCGGCATCGGCGTCGACGTCGGCCACGGTGTCTAGGCCTTCTGCAGCAACCTCGACGTCGAGAGCTCTGACAACAACATCTGTCGGTCCCTCGGCAGAGGCCGAACCCCGACAGCCGAGAAAGGCTGCGCAGAAGAGACCGAGGGCAGCCATGTCGACAGCTTCGAAGGCCTCAGTGTCGACGGCCTCCAAGACTTCAAGGCCTACGAAGCAGGCGCCTCCGTGCTCGGTCACTACCGAGACCGTGCGCGTTCGACACTCGTCGACCAGCTCGGTGGCATCGGTGAGATCGGTCAGGTCCACGAGGTCGACATCTGCGACTCCGCCATCTTCCACGGCGGTTCGCATTGCCTTTCGCCGAGCTCAAGAAGAATCTCGGCGTGCTTCCACCTCGTCCTCCGTTCCGCCCACCCCGGGCAAGTCTCTGTCGAAGACAACTCAACCACTGGCGAAGAAGAAGAAGACGATGCCGCCTCCACCCTCGTCTTCTTCCTCTTCCCGAAGGCAAACCACTGCCTCCTCGGCCACCTCCTCGGCGAGATCGTCGCCGTCACGGCCTACTGAACCTCAGCCGGCCCCACAGCCTGCTCAGGAGCCGCAACCCTTGCCGATGCCGCCTCCGGAACAGCCCGAGTCCCCGGTGATCTCGGTGGACACGGTGATCGAGGCACCTGCTCGACACGTGACAGCCAGACAGGAGCTTTTCCCGCCGGTCACGGCGTTGGCTACTGTGACAGCCAGACAGGAGACCCCGCCGGTACTACAGACTCCGGAAAGGGGCAGACAGACAATGAGATTGGCCAGTGCCATTCGGGCTTCGGCCTCAAAAGCTCCTCCAGTGGCTCCACTGCAGCTTCAGAGCCGGGATGCCTCCTCATCCCCGCCACCCCGCTCCCTGCCTCCTGATGATGAAGAGGAAGATGGCGAGTTGCCGGGATCGGTACACTCGGGATCGGTGTTGTCTCTCGGGATCGAGAAATCACCTACCCACGACGCCTATGAGGCGGATCCTCCATCTCCTACAGACAATGTCCGAGCCTTTGCGGATCAAATGGCTCGCATGGCTGAGACTCTGGGCCTGGAGGTCAAACAGACTTCCAAGGCAGTACTTGATCCGGTATTCAAAAGGGTGCAGAGGGAGTCCCCACCCGCTCCTCTCCTACCCTTCCTTCCCTATCTCCTCGAGGTGATCCAGGGCTCCTGGAAGACCCCCTCCTCCATCCCCCCGACCTCCAAGAAGATCGAATCCTGGTATAGGACTGACGACGAGGGCTTGGAGTGGCTGAAACACCATCCCGACCCCAACTCGGTGGTCGTGAAGGCGGCTCGGGTTCGGTAGGCAGTCCTCGACGCCATCCGATCGTGAAGGGAAGAGGTTCGACGCGGTGGGCAGGAAGCTTTACTCCGGTGCCCTCCTGCTGGCCCGCATGGCAAATTATGGGGCTTGTATGGGAGCATACCAACAGATCCTGTGGGAAAAAGCAGAGCCCTTCTTCCAGAGGATGTCTGCTGAGGATCGTGCTGCCATGACCACCCTGGCCCAAGAAGCACACTCTCTGGCGCATCATCAGATGCAGATGGCCAAGCACACGGGGGACACTGCGGGCAAAATGATTGCTCACGCCGTAGCAATCAGGAGACATGCCTGGCTCAGATCATCCGGCCTTTCTACATCATCGAGGCAGGTGATCGAGGACCTCTCGTTCGATGCCCTAGGGCTCTTCAACGCCGGGACGGATGACAAACTGAAGTCAAACCACGACTTCAAGACTTTGGCCTCGAAGTGCGGGATCGAGAACCAGGGCCAGGTGCAACGTACCAGATGGTTCCAGTACAAGCGCAGGCACACGATCCCGTGCCGTACTATTCAGTACCGGCATCCAACCCGTCCCCTGCAGACCCCTCAGCAAACCCACTCCCAGCAGCCCCAACAACAACGGCGGCAGCACCAGCAGCAGCGTTCGCGCTCTCGGCAGGCTTCAGGAGGCAACCAGGCCAGGCGTCGCGTTTGACGCGCTGGTGGACGATACCGTTTGCAGTTCCGTTACCGATGTTGCTCCCATGTCCCTCCCAATGGTACCCACCCTCATCCTTCCATCCGGCTCGACACCGTTCGGAGAACGCCTGACGAACTTTCTCCCTGCATGGGAAAGCATCACCTCAGATGCATGGGTTTTAAAGATTGTCGACGAAGGCTATGCATTGGAGTTCGAAGAGCTCCCACCAACGGGGCAAATTATAGAGACTGAGCCATCCTCGGCAATCCTGACAGAGGTCGATACCTTGCTCCTGAAGGGGGCAATTTCCCCTCTCCCGGACTCTCAAAACCATCGAGCCTTCTTCTCCAGATACTTTACTGTCCCGAAGCCAGATGGCTCCCTTTGCCCCATCCTCGATCTCAGAGACTTAAACTCCTTCATCGAACATCGAGGGTTTCGGATGGTGACGGTATCGTCCATCCTCCCCTTCCTCCGATACGGGGACTTCTTCGTGTCCGTCGATCTCCGGGACGCTTATTTCCATCTCTCCATCAGGGAGCACCACAGACGCTTCCTGGCCTTCAGAGTAGCGGGACAGACGTACGTGTTCAACGTCCTCCCCTTCGGTCTCGTGACGGCACCGAGGACCTTTACGAAATGCATGTCGGTGGTCGCAGCGGCCCTCAGACGGGAAAAAATCCGGATTTTCCCTTACTTAGACGACTGGTTGTTGGCAGCACGCTCCCCGGACCTTCTGCAAACACAGGTGGCAAGGACACTTTCTCTCCTCGAGGACCTGGGCCTCCAGTTGAACGAGGAAAAATCCCACCTCGAGCCCACCACTTGCATAAAGTTCATCGGCGCCATGTTCGATTCTCTCTCCCAGACAGTCTTCCTTCCGGAGGAGAGATTCAGGGCACTTCGAGCCGAGGTACTCAAGGTGCGTTGCTCCCGAGTGGTCCCGGCGAAGCAAGTACAAGTCCTCCTCGGACACATGGCCTCCACGGTGATGGTGACACCGTTGGCAAGGCTCCGCTTCCGGCCCCTCCAGAGATGGTTCCTGGACCACTTCAATCCCATACGGGACAGTGCCGCAAAGCGTCTGCTGGTACCGAGGTCGGTGAAGGACTCTCTGACCTGGTGGATGAACCGCCAGTATGTCTGCAAGGGCATTCCTTTTCATCCAGAGCCCCCAGCCATCACGATTACGACGGACGCCTCGATGTTCGCATGGGGATGCCATACAGGAGAACTCTCGGTGCACGACCTTTGGTCTCCTCAGGAGAAGCAGTACCACATCAACTACTTGGAACTGCTGGCAATCTTCAAGGCCCTGAGAGCATTCGCCCTCCTAGTCGCCGGGAAGTCTGTTCAGATCCTCACGGACAACATGGTGGCAATGTTCTACGTGAACAAGCAGGGAGGAACGGGCTCGAGGAAGCTCCTCAAGCTATCACTGGAACTCTGGGACTGGTGTGTAGCCAGGTCGGTGTCGATAACAGCCTTGCACCTCCCGGGCGAAGCCAACGTCGAGGCCGACGTACTCAGCAGAACCAGGGCAACATCCCACGAGTGGAGGCTGAACCCCGATGTCCTGGCGGAGATCTTCAGGGAATGGGGCCTTCCGGCCGCAGACCTCTTCGCGTCGCCGCAAAATGCCCAACTGCCTCAGTTCGGTGCTCGGCTTGCTCCGAACACGGTACCGGGGTGTCTCGGAGACGCGTTCCTGCTAGACTGGTCGAGGCACCTGCTCTACCTCTTCCCGCCGTTCCCGCTCATCCCGAGGGTGATCGCGCGAATGCAGTCGGCGCAAACAGACTGCATCTTGGTAGCGCCGGAATGGCCACGACAACCGTGGTTCCCGGTCCTACTC